CTGTGCACCCATCACCGACTATCGCTCGCGTCCCCAAACACAGAGTGCGCATGCGCGTGCGTACCCCACCACGTGATCACGTACCGTCCGTTGCCATGGGAGCCGGATACACACACCAGTCCGGTCACCCTGGCAACCTAAAAACGGTAACCATATATTGAAAACTTTATTAGTATGTGCAAGTGAACATGAACACCATATTCAGTGTATTGAGCTGATCAGAGGATCCATATTATAAAGCCATAAATCCATACATCATATATATTATATATATCAACACCTATAAATTTTAAATATAAAGTCAGATCTTTTACTGACAGTAATAAAGGTGATATGTGCAAAACATGCAAGTAAAGAAAGGACAGAGTGATCCAATAATGTGAACGTTATATTGAATTTTAAAGTGTCAGAATATAGTAATAAAGTGCTAAAGATTGGGCTTCAAAATTGAAGCAAAGTGCCAATATAGGTATAAAAATAATGGTGAAAATATAGTGTGAACTTATTAGAAATTACACAGATAAGATAGCCAAGGTTAAAACTATCAGGACAGGAGCCCATGGGTAAGCAAAGAAATTGTCCCCGACAATGTTAAAAACACATAACCATAAAGTACACAAACACTAATGTTAAAAACAATGATGATGAAAAAAATATATAGATTAATTATTAAAATTGTTACAAGGCATTTATATAAATGAGTGATATGAAATCATTTCATTCAGTCCTCTAGGGGCTATAGTATCCAGGGTATAGATCCAGAATGTCTCTCTGTTCAAAAGGAGTTTTCCTCTATCCCCCCCACGTTTCAGTGGTGGTATATGGTCAATTGCTAAAAATTTAAGAGCTGAAAGTGGGTGTTGAAAGGCAAGAAAGTGTTTTGCCACCGGTTGGTCAGATGTCCCATCACGATATGCCACCCTTATGCTCGATCTATGTCCCCTAATTCTTTCACACAGGGGTGTTTCAGTTTTACCAATGTATGAGAGTCCACAAGGGCAGGACAACTTATACACCACATATGGGGTCTTGCAGGTAATGGTGTGTCGTATCTGAAAAACCTTTTTCTTATGTGGATGTTGAAAAGTGCGAGACGGTGTCATGTGGCCACAGGTGACACAGCCCAAGCAACGAATGCTACCCCTATTTTGTATTTCAATGTTTTTTACTTCGTAGCTTCTTGTCGGGTCCGTATGGACTAACAGATCCCTTAAATTCTTATTTCTACGATAGCACATAAGAGGGGGTTCTTTGAACACCTTAGGAAGGGTGTCGTCACTTGCCAGCATATTCCAATTGTCCTTAACAATTTTAGATATCGTTGGGGATGCATCATGGAACGTTACAGGAAAAACTAACCTTTGAGATTCACTTTTAACTTTAGTTGGACAGGCAGACTTTGCCTCCAATTTTGCCCTAACTAGATCATCTCGTTTGTAACCACGTTCCAGAAATTTTACCATCATCTCTTCCAATTGTCTCTCCATTATATTCTCATCTGAGTTATTATGTATAACTCTCAGAAATTGAGCCTTAGGTAGAGATCTCTTCAGTGCCTTGGGATGTGCACTTGTATTATGTAGGAGGGTATTTCGGTCCGTGGGTTTATGATAGAGGCGGTAGGCCAGTCCCTCATCATTAATGGCTATCTCCAAATCCAAAAATTGGACGGAGGCCAAGTTAATGTTTGCCGTGAACCTAATCGGACTCTCCACTTGATTGAGGAATTGTATCATCTCTTGAGCTTCCATAGCACTACCACTCCACAGAATCAATACATCATCGATGTATCGGAAATAGCCTTGAATGTATTGCCCAAATTTTGATAAAATCCATTGTCGTTCGTATATATACATAAAGGCATTAGCATACATGGGGGCCATTAGCATACATGTCATTGTTTTTAACATTAGTGTTTGTGTACTTTATGGTTATGTGTTTTTAACATTGTCGGGGACATTAATTTCTTTGCTTACCCATGGGCTCCTGTCCTGATAGTTTTAACCTTGGCTATCTTATCTGTGTAATTTCTAATAAGTTCACACTATATTTTCACCATTATTTTTATACCTATATTGGCACTTTGCTTCAATTTTGAAGCCCAATCTTTAGCACTTTATTACTATATTCTGACACTTTAAAATTCAATATAACGTTCACATAATTGGATCACTCTGTCCTTTCTTTACTTGCATGTTTTGCACATATCACCTTTATTACTGTCAGTAAAAGATCTGACTTTATATTTAAAATTTATAGGTGTTGATATATATAATATATATGATGTATGGATTTATGGCTTTATAATATGGATCCTCTGATCAGCTCAATACACTGAATATGGTGTTCATGTTCACTTGCACATACTAATAAAGTTTTCAATATATGGTTACCGTTTTTAGGTTGCCAGGGTGACCGGACTGGTGTGTGTATCCGGCTCCCATGGCAACGGACGGTACGTGATCACGTGGTGGGGTACGCACGCGCATGCGCACTCTGTGTTTGGGGACGCGAGCGATAGTCGGTGATGGGTGCACAGCTGGGGTAAGTTTACTTTTTAATGACTTTTTCCAATTATCTGCCCGGTATTTAAACGATTTATTGATATGTATGTGGTTAGTATTCCTGATGAAAGTCCCGGAGGAGGACTGAAACGTCGAGCTGCTACATTTTTAAAGATGTTCTAATAAATTTCTGAATTTTAACTTTTACCTGAAACCGTGAGTGCTGGCCATTTTCTGCCTATTATATCTCCATTTACCCTGGATTACAAGCACCCGGATATTATTACTGTTTGGTCAGTGTGCAAGGATTAAGAGTTCTTTTTGGATAATAGGAACATGGGGTATTGTTCCACCTATGCACCGGCACTTTTTGTACCTATATAGTACATTTTTGACTACTTGATTTTTTCATATTTATATTGACCTTTGCATTTATTGGAGACTATTCATTGGAAAATAGACTTTTCTGTTGCCTAGTACAATTTTGTATTTTTATTGCAACACTATGGATGATGATTTTTTGTTACAAGCAGGGGCTTATAATGAACAGGCGGACACTTTACAATTTTCACATGAGGAAGCCCAGGCTATTTTATGGGAACAAACAGGACTGGAATTACCAAACAATTTATCAATTAAAGATATCTATTTTCTGTTATTACGCTTGAATAAGAAATGTATTGATCTGGACCTCCACGGTCTTTTTTTGTCTGATTACTATAAGGCAAAACGAATCCCCAGGGGTTTTAGAATCTTGAATGTTCCTACGATTGGTCGAGGCAAGGCTAGAGTATGCAGAGACTGGACCTCGGTCCTGAATAAAGCTTCCCTAGACCTGATGCTCATCATAATCCAAGATGTCAGGACAGACATGGAGGATATTAAGAAAAAAATTACTGAAGTAGAAATGGAACATGCTATTTTGCTGACATCACCAGATGGCATTAAACTTAAGACAAAGCTACAGGAGGAACTTCTTATATATAAACAAGAACTTATTAAGTTTAAGAAACAGAAGTTTGAACATGTACGCCAAGATTACCAGGACCATCGCGTTTATAGATGGCTTACAGGTGATGGGAGACGCAGACCTATGCGCCAGCGCAAGAGAATAATACGACCCCAGATACCAACTATTGACATTACATCGGGGGAATCGGCATCTGACAGTGAGACGCAAAAGGAGTCTACTCCTTTTTTAGAAGGTCCAGATATTGGAACAACTACGAGGAGCCACGGCCGAGGAGGAGTAGGAGGAGAACGAGGAGGGGCCACAAGGGGAAGATTCACGACTCGGGAGAAGCCACCGCTACGAAGATAACTCCAATCTTCAATTTGTCTAAAAGATCCCTGGACCCCCAAGAAATCAATATACTAAGCCGTGGCTTATCCTTTGTACCTACTCCTAAACCGAACCAATTTAAGTGGAACACAGAACTTTTTAGATTTGGGAGACAGATGCGCCTCAGAGATTTTTTTCATATTCCTGAAAGACCGATGTCTATGTCCCAAAAGCAAGAAAAGTCCATACAGTTTAGAAATAAATCTTTGTTTGATCCACATACAAATAAGGCCTCTATTAAAACTTATCTATCCACGGTTAATCATCTTGCTAAGGAAGCGATTGGAGCCCATAGATGTAAACACAAAAATATCTCCACTCAACAGAGTAAATGTATTGAGAATCTAGCCAAGGATCCATCAATTATTATTCGACCAGCCGATAAGGGTGGAGGGATTGTCATTATGGACTATACATACTATGCAGAAGAACTTAAACAGCAACTACAGAATGATACGGTATATTTACCTCTGCGGGGTGACCCCACGGATACAATAAAGAAGAAAATTGAAGCTATTGTGACAATAGGTGTTGAATCAGGATTTATAGATGAACAACTCAGTAAATTTCTTTTGAAGCAATATCCACGTACACCTATCATATATACTCTCCCAAAGATCCATAAAGACCCTGTCAGGCCTCCTGGAAGACCAATTGTTTCGGCAATTGAGGGATTGTTGGAACCTATTGCAAGATGGTTGGATTCCTTATTCCAAGCCCCTATAGCCGCATTGGAGACGTTTATAAAAGATACACCTAGTCTAATTACAAAATTAAAACAATTGAACCTGGCAAAGGGCGCTACAGTATTAATTACTATGGATGTAGGTAGCCTATATACTGTAATCCCACACGATCAAGGTGTAGAGGCTATGAGAACAGTCCTCACGACATCTCCTCTATACAAAGGACCACCTATAGAGTTTGTATTAGAACTTCTTTCCTTTGTACTTAACAATAACTATTTTAGGTTTGAGGAGCAGTGGTATCTCCAGATCTCAGGCACATCCATGGGGGCGGCTATGGCCCCCATGTATGCTAATGCCTTTATGTATATATACGAACGACAATGGATTTTATCAAAATTTGGGCAATACATTCAAGGCTATTTTCGATACATCGATGATGTATTGATTCTGTGGAGTGGTAGTGCTATGGAAGCTCAAGAGATGATACAATTCCTCAATCAAGTGGAGAGTCCGATTAGGTTCACGGCAAACATTAACTTGGCCTCCGTCCAATTTTTGGATTTGGAGATAGCCATTAATGATGAGGGACTGGCCTACCGCCTCTATCATAAACCCACGGACCGAAATACCCTCCTACATAATACAAGTGCACATCCCAAGGCACTGAAGAGATCTCTACCTAAGGCTCAATTTCTGAGAGTTATACGTAATAACTCAGATGAGAATATAATGGAGAGACAATTGGAAGAGATGATGGTAAAATTTCTGGAACGTGGTTACAAACGAGATGATCTAGTTAGGGCAAAATTGGAGGCAAAGTCTGCCTGTCCAACTAAAGTTAAAAGTGAATCTCAAAGGTTAGTTTTTCCTGTAACGTTCCATGATGCATCCCCAACGATATCTAAAATTGTTAAGGACAATTGGAATATGCTGGCAAGTGACGACACCCTTCCTAAGGTGTTCAAAGAACCCCCTCTTATGTGCTATCGTAGAAATAAGAATTTAAGGGATCTGTTAGTCCATACGGACCCGACAAGAAGCTACGAAGTAAAAAACATTGAAATACAAAATAGGGGTAGCATTCGTTGCTTGGGCTGTGTCACCTGTGGCCACATGACACCGTCTCGCACTTTTCAACATCCACATAAGAAAAAGGTTTTTCAGATACGACACACCATTACCTGCAAGACCCCATATGTGGTGTATAAGTTGTCCTGCCCTTGTGGACTCTCATACATTGGTAAAACTGAAACACCCCTGTGTGAAAGAATTAGGGGACATAGATCGAGCATAAGGGTGGCATATCGTGATGGGACATCTGACCAACCGGTGGCAAAACACTTTCTTGCCTTTCAACACCCACTTTCAGCTCTTAAATTTTTAGCAATTGACCATATACCACCACTGAAACGTGGGGGGGATAGAGGAAAACTCCTTTTGAACAGAGAGACATTCTGGATCTATACCCTGGATACTATAGCCCCTAGAGGACTGAATGAAATGATTTCATATCACTCATTTATATAAATGCCTTGTAACAATTTTAATAATTAATCTATATATTTTTTTCATCATCATTGTTTTTAACATTAGTGTTTGTGTACTTTATGGTTATGTGTTTTTAACATTGTCGGGGACAATTTCTTTGCTTACCCATGGGCTCCTGTCCTGATAGTTTTAACCTTGGCTATCTTATCTGTGTAATTTCTAATAAGTTCACACTATATTTTCACCATTATTTTTATACCTATATTGGCACTTTGCTTCAATTTTGAAGCCCAATCTTTAGCACTTTATTACTATATTCTGACACTTTAAAATTCAATATAACGTTCACATAATTGGATCACTCTGTCCTTTCTTTACTTGCATGTTTTGCACATATCACCTTTATTACTGTCAGTAAAAGATCTGACTTTATATTTAAAATTTATAGGTGTTGATATATATAATATATATGATGTATGGATTTATGGCTTTATAATATGGATCCTCTGATCAGCTCAATACACTGAATATGGTGTTCATGTTCACTTGCACATACTAATAAAGTTTTCAATATATGGTTACCGTTTTTAGGTTGCCAGGGTGACCGGACTGGTGTGTGTATCCGGCTCCCATGGCAACGGACGGTACGTGATCACGTGGTGGGGTACGCACGCGCATGCGCACTCTGTGTTTGGGGACGCGAGCGATAGTCGGTGATGGGTGCACAGCTGGGGTAAGTTTACTTTTTAATGACTTTTTCCAATTATCTGCCCGGTATTTAAACGATTTATTGATATGTATGTGGTTAGTATTCCTGATGAAAGTCCCGGAGGAGGACTGAAACGTCGAGCTGCTACATTTTTAAAGATGTTCTAATAAATTTCTGAATTTTAACTTTTACCTGAAACCGTGAGTGCTGGCCATTTTCTGCCTATTTATATATATATATATATATATATATATATGATGCATATATACACATTTCATTTATTTTACATGTTTAACAATAATTTTTTTTTTTTACACTACCCACCAGCAGGGGGACTGTCTGACAGCCCAGACAGTCTCCCTGCTGGCAGATCCACAGCTCTCTTTGAGAGCGATCACATGGCCCCCGGGGGCCTGATTTGCCTTGGGAGGGCTGCCTGGGCTGTCAGGCAGTCCTCCCAAAGAGGATCGCGGTGGAGGTAAGTCCATCGGAGCTCCTGGGGTAGAAAGCCGTTACAGCGTTCTATGCTGCCGCAACGGCTTTAAAGTCCATTATAATAGGGACGGCATAGAACGCTGTAACGGCGTAAAGGGGTTAATCAACAGCTCCTCTCCCACATTTCTGCTATAACCTGATCTTGCTAAAGCTTATTACAACAACACTCTCCTCTGCACTAAACACTCTTGCTCCTCCCGAATTGCTCAAATCTCCATGCTGTAAATTATGCAATGTTGTATGTTTTTGTACCTTGGTAGTTGTGTGCCAACCCACCCCACCAGCCCCCTGCAGAGGAAAGTGCTATAAGGGGTGAGGGGCAGGGATCAAGGGGAGAACAGGGGGGAGAGTTGTGGGACAGGCAGGAGGGGGACATCTGCCCCCACTCCCGCCAATGGCCCAAGCAGCCCACCCAAAGTCCGCACCTATTGGTTTGTCCTACTTTGTGTGTGTGTGTTTTAGTAATTGATGTACGTCTCCCAGGGTTGCCATGTCTTTGTAAAGTTTTTCTCTGTGTTTCTAATTTGGGCGATCAGCTTGTCCATCAGGTAGTTGTCTTTACTCTTTATGATTACGTCATCTATTGTTGGTATAGAATTCTTGCTCCATGCCTGAGCCAAAGCTCTTCTGGCCGCCAAGGTAATCTTATTTAAGAGTTTTCGCTCTTTAGAGAGGAGTCCGTTTGTGGGCTTAGATAACAAAAAGGACGAAGGGTCCAAGTCAATCTGTCTTTCAAATACATCTTTTAACAGTGTCTGGACCTGCAACCTGTCAGGGTATTTATATCGGCAGACATCTTGTGCTATGATAGAAATTAAAAGTGTATATGCTGAGTCACTTCTGAACAGACCAGACTCCATTTTGTTATTTTTTTAAGTTAACAAAGAGACACGAAATTTCTATCCTATCTGTAAAACTAACCACGTTCCCAGAGCTAAAGGAATGCATAGTATATACAAACCAAGTGATAAGGAGAACGGGGGTTGGACAGACTGTCTAAAATGTTAATGGAATAGATGCATATCTAAACACAGACATTTGTGACAGAGGAGATTAAATAATAAAATTTTACTTTCTATATGTACAAGATCCCATTGTAGTAAAGGGTTGAAATAGAGTGTCGTACTGTCAATTTTACAAGTTACGATCAAGTAGATGCCAGAAAGACTGGCACAAATGCTTTGAAGTGAAAGCAAACTTAAATTATGGCAACCATATAGATAAAGCCAAAATGACGTCAAAATAGCGACCAGGAAAAGTTAACTCTTTCCTGGATAGGTATGTTTAGTGGGACAAGACTGCCCTCTATAGACCAAATACCTAAATTGCGATCTGGAAGATAACCACACCCCCAGTGTTGCTATTGGTTTACCAACTAGTGAATTTTCCCTTTAAAAGTTAAGACAAAGAGGGAGAAGGAAAAAAAGGAGAGACAAAGAGAGGAATTGGAAGTTTGGGGACTCCAACTCGGGCATGCAGAGAAACCCAGGACAACATCTGAGACTAACACTCTACTCTTAAAACTCTAACACTTAGAATTTTACTGACTTTCTAACCAACACCACCTTTCACCATAACTTATGCACCTACAGACATCCAAATAAGTTCCTGAGACTATCTACCAATCGGATGAAATATCTACTCAACTGGTAATTATACTAGTTTCATTTAATTAATTAAATTAATTAAAATGTACTAATAGCATGATATATGACTGGATAAATCACGGTCAGATTTCCATATTTAGAAATCTTAGTTAACTAAAGAATATATAGTTATAAACATTCCATTCTGCAGGTGGAATTAAGAATAATTATATATTAATGTGATAGTATCACATGTTAGCATACCGCTGTTTTTATCCAGGTGTATTGATTTGCTCTAAAATAAGATAAGATATCTTTTAGACAAATTAAACTCTGCTTATATAACATGGTAGATTCTCTTATTGGATGGTTCCAAGAAATGACTAATTAACTGGTTTAAATGTTATTTTATTTAAAATTACATAAGAATAGATCTTAACTACCTAGGAGGTCTAGCCAGCATTGAAAGGGTTATTCAGTTGATCTAACTGTTAGCCAGGGTTTTATGGTCCTTCGCTGTGAAAAGCTTTGCTTTCTCTCTGTGAAAGATAGTCATAAATCGTGTAAGTCTTGACAGAAAATGCTGTTTAGCCATTGAAACGTGTATACCCATTCCTTTGTATTGCATATCATTTGATACTGGATATTCATTGATTATTGTCACGCATGTTACATATTATTATTAATTAATTTGTTATTATAAAGTAAATCTATTTTTATAACATTGTGATTTCATTATATGAAATACTTTTCACTTAACACGATAACGATCTTTGGGATCTGAGAATTGAATTAGTGGGCAATTCTCACTGTTTACTATTATTATCCCATAAATATCCCCACAAACCAGAATCGATTAATTTTTGGGCATGTCCACCACATATGGATAAATGTGCCTTTGTCCCCACATTCTTTTCAGCATGTGTCTGTCGTGGTTTTTCCCATTCTAAACAATTTGACTTGGGTTGTGTACCACCTCATTAGCATTTTGTAGGATTGCTCCTGTTGTATGATGCATATAGACATTTTGGCTGTTGCTTCCCAAATGTCTTCCCAGTCCTCCCCTTCTAATGTCCGTCCCACGTCTTATTCCCACTGGCCTATGTTGACCCTTTCTGAAGCGCTGAGCTGCGTGTACAGAATTGTGATCAGTGGGGAGGGAGTATTTTTTAGGGAATGTTTGGTGGCCGCGAGTTTCCAAATTCTGATGGAATTTACTATAGCCAGGCAGGTAGTTCGCAGTGGTGGTCTGTCTGCCTTGGGCACCCAGATCCAAAACTGGGGTAAGTCAGTGCTCATGAGGTGTGTTTCTAAGTCGACCCATCTGTGGGAGTCCACTGGGAATGTCAGCTTACCACCAGGGCCAGTTGGGCCACTTAAAAATATAAGTATAGGTTGGGGAGTCCTAGCCCTTCCTTTGATTTGTGATGGTATAACACCTTTTGCGCTACCCGGTGTCTTTTTTGTGCCCATATGAAGTTATCTATTGAGCTTTGCAGGGGGCCCAGGTCTTTATTTGTTACCCTAATGGGCAAGGTCTGAAACAGGAAGAGCAGGCGTGGTAAGAGATTCATTTTAATGGCATGTAGCCTCCCTATCCAGGACATTGGCCTTTCGTGCCATTTCTCTAAGTCTCTCCTTAGTGTTGCTTGAGT